CAGGTACTCCCCCCCCCCCCATCTCACTCAACTTCTGCCTGAGTCGGCTGTGAAGGTCCATCTCTTATCCGGTAAGATCAACATGCTTAGTCAACAAGACATTCATAAAATATAAATTATTTCCAACACCATCCCTTAATTTATATTTACACAAAACTGACAACATTAATTTCATCCCTCAAACGGATAAAGTGTTCAGTCTTGACATCCTTCGTCAGAATATATGCAAGTTTCTTTTGGTTGCTACAGTGTGCAAGTTCTAATACTCCATTTAGAAATGCAAATTTCTCCTTGAAAACACATATGTCATTGATGTTATTCTTTTCCTTCGGAAGCTCAGTCATCTTCCAAGTCTTATTTCTTTCAATAGCATCAAGCTCTTCTTTCATGGTCTTCATCCACACTTTCTTCTTGAGAGCTTCACAGGTTGACAATGCAACCACCAGTTACTTCTTTAAGCACCAAGAAATAGGACTTTCCAGATACAAACAAAAATATCCAGAAGTATTTCTTCTGTCAACTTTGTCTTCATACCAATCAGAGTTTGGATAGCACGTCAGTTATGCATCTGATCTAACACTAGAAGGGAGTAACACTCTATACCTCAGAGTCCCTTCAGTATCTTGCAGCTTATCAAACTCTACAAATCTCCTTCGTATATTTCTGAATCTATGTGGCCTATGAACTTGTTTAGAATCTCCTTCTGATTCTAGAACAATATCTCCTTCTGGACTTTCTCCAGAAGTTTGAATACCACCAGAAGCTCCACCTTTGTTAGCTTCTGGACCTTATTTAGAACCACTACCTTCAAAAATACCATCTTCAAAAGTTGGATCACCATCAGAAGCTCTGCCTTCAGAAGTTCCACTTTCAGAATCATGTTCACCGTCAGAGGTTAGATTTCCTTCAAAAGATCTTCCTTTAGAAGGTCTATCCTTAGAGTCATGATTTCCACCAGAAACATGATCATCTTTAGAAGCTTGTCCTCCAGAACCTACGTCTTCAGAGTTTTCCCTTCTAGAAGCATGATCACCACCAGATTCAAAATCTAGATCAAAATCAAATTCACCATCTGACTCATCTTTAGAGTCTCCAGAAGATTCTTCATCCTCTGACTCTGACTCACCTTTAAAACTTCCAAGTTCTGACTCATCTTCATGAACCTCAGATTCTGACTCATCTTCAGAATCTTCAGCATCATCTTCTGATTCCGACTCATATTCAAACACTCCTTCAGAGTCATAATATTCATAATTATCTTCTTCCCCATTAGAATCAGAAAATGACAATCTCACAGGTTCCTCATCAGATTCATAAGCCATTAATAGCACAGGTTCATCATCTGAATCTCCTCTGGCTATTTTTGCTTCTTCTTTATTTGTTCAACAATCTTTAGCAAAGTGGTCAAACCTATTACAACAGTAACACTAAACCATTCTCTTGTCATACTTCTCCTTTCCCTTTTGATGTTTCTTTTCATCAAAATATAAGACTGCTGACTTCTGGGAACTACCATGTTTTTATGCTTCTGATCCTTCTTGACAAAAGAAGCTTTCAGAGTCTGCTGCTCTACTTCCCTCTCAGAAGTTCTCTCAGTCATACGCAACTCATGCGCCTCTAGACTACTTTGCAGGTCTTCAACTCTTATGGTGCTCATATCTTTGGAATATTCAATTGCTACCACAATGTAATCAAACTGAGAAGTTAAATATCTCAATATCTTCTCTATGATTACTTGTTCAGAAAGGGTTTCTCCATAAGCTTTCATCTCATTAGTGATCAGAATCACTCTAGAGATGTACTCAGAAACCTTCTCGTTGTCCTTCATGTTGAGATTCTCATATTGCTTTCATAGGGACTGAAGCTTCACCTTCTTCACTGATGTGTCACCACCGTAACATCTGACCAGTGTGTCCCACACAACCTTTGCTGTTTCAGAATCTGTAATCTTCTCAAATACATTCGCATACACACACTGATGGATATAGAACGATGCTTTCTGATCTTTCTTCCTTATTGCCTTTTGCATTGTCTTCTGTGCCTTCGTCGCGTCTACTGCTAATGAAGCATATCCATCGGTGACAAGATCTAACACATCTTGAGAACTGAACAATACATGCATCTGGATCTTTCAACGATTTTAGTTTTTGCCATCAAATATTGGAAGCTTGGAACTGATATCACTGTTTCCGTTCATCTTCAACCTTGTGCAGTTCACTCAAAATTCACTAACACAGTGTTTCCCAAATCCCACAGAATCAGAAAAATATGATTTTCAATCACACAACACCTCACTGTTCACTCGTGTTTCTCATGTTTCTCATGTTTCCCGTAGATTTCGAACCAGGCTCTGATACCAATTGTTGATAAACAAAGGAGAGATGAAAGACAAAATAAATGTATTAAATGATGGCTAAAAAATAAGGAGTAATGAATATATTGACCTACCTACTATTAGACTATTTATACACAATAATCAAATATAATAAAATACTAAAATATTCTTTAACAGACTTAGTCAATAAAACATTTCTAAAATACAAATTATTTCCAAAAATGTGATCAAAATAAAACGTCTGAAACTAAAATGACAAATACATTACATATAAGCATATTTTTTATGTAGTTATTATTGAACATTTTATGAAAAGAACTACTTCAATTTTATTCTATTTTTTATAAAATACATTACAGTTTTTATTATTTTTATTATTATTACTTATCAAACTTTCATTTTTATATGAGTGAAGTTCTACATCAATCTTTTTAAATATGTCTGTGCTTATTCTTTTAATTAATTTATAAAATATCTCTACAAATATATATTATGGTATTGTATAAAAATTTATATAACTTTTAATTTTGTGAAACTATAAATAATATTATGTTATATTTGTTTATTATATTCAATATTATATTAAAAATATACGTTTTACTATTACCGGTTGATCTCATATAGATCTCGATTGAACCTTTAAACCTTAAACTCTTAATTATATCAGTTTAATGACCGATCCGATTTTAATTACCTTGCAAATTAATAATTATAAAAGAGATAAAAACAAGCTAAGAAACAAGATCACATGCCAACTTTCAAAGACTTTAATTTCTTTGATATTGATCTTAATATTTGATTTCCTTTGCTCCAAACATCACAATCTTTTAGCTTCACTTTTATATTTATTTCAATCTTTTCATTTCTCGATGATACTCATAATTATTTTACTTTAGACTTTATGTCATTATTACGCATGTACACACACCTTATTTTTAAATTCGTTTTTTCTAAGTAAATATATTTATAGTATCAAAAATTTATTTTAGTTGTTGACTCTTTGAGAATTTCATCATTTATTTAAGAGGTATTGAAAAATAAGAATTGTGAAGCTATTGACGAGAAAATGAAAAGACTTGAGAAAAAAAAAGAGATTTGAGAAATTGTTAGAGGCAAAGAGGTAAGAGGTTAGTTGGTTGCAGATGAATCTATATAATTAAATATAATTTAGATGGTGTCCATAATTGTTATAGGGCCAAATTATTGACAAAAGAATATACTCAAATTTAACACTGACTATGAGGATACATTTTCTCAAGAGACAAAGATTAATACTGTTCGAATATTATAGTTAACACTCTAACATCTAAGTCAGTTCAAGATTTAAGATTAGTGTAGTAAAAAGTAGAGATCAGAAAATATACCTTACTTTATGTGTGTGAACTGATTTTATACCTTAGGTCAAGTGAAATAAATTTAATATGAATTGAACTTTAATCATTTGAATCTTCGACCGACCCAAAACATATATAAAAATGTTTTATTACATGGAGATTTAGAGGAAAAGGTGTATATGAATATTCCACCAGACTTTGGTCTTATTGGTGGAACCAACATCACATGTCATTTAAACAAGATTTTATATGGATTGAAACAATTGCCTCGAGTCTGGTTGAAAATACTCACAAAGACCATGGGGTTCTTGGGCTATAAGCAGGGTCAAGGATACTAGACTTTGTTCTTCAAAATTTCAGAAGAAGGAAAACAATTTTACTTATTATTTATGTTGATGATATTATTGTTAACAACATGATTTGATTGTGAGATAACTTTTCAAAGAAGAGTTTTAAGTGGAGTTTGAGATGAAAGACCTTAGACAACTCAATTATTTCTTTGAATTGGGATAGTGTACTTAAAACAAGATATCTTTCTCTCTTAGAGGAAACATGTGCTTAGTCTTTTTAGGAAACACAAAAACTTAGATGCAAATAAATAAACTGTTCTCTTGAAAAATATCATAGGATAAGCCTTGAGGAGGAAAACTCTAAAGTTGAAAAGTGTCACTATTAGAGATTAGTGGTAAAGTTGAATTAATTGCTTGGCACTTACTAGACTGAAATTGGCATATGAAATTAGTGTGGCCAGTCAATTGGCATATTAAATATAAATAGTAATAAGTAATAATAATTTGAGGACTATTAAACAAAACCTATTAAGTTTATTTTTCTCTCTATTCAGTAAGATTATTTCACCATTATACTTAAAAAATTTAATATATCAAAACCTATTTTATTTCTTCTAATATACTAACAAGTGCTTTATGACACATGTTATTATTTCCTTTTATTTAAACAATTTATCTATTAAATGTACCTCACTCTTGTGACGCATAAAGATAGTGTATTGTCTTTGGACTACCTTGAAGTAAATTTACAATAGTTGATAGAAAATAGTATACATTTTTAACATGCACTCAATTATTGATAAAAATATATGTATTCCATTCAATCATTTGAGTTTCATTCTTTATTTAATAGTACACACTCTCAATCTGTTGATATATAAAATGTAAGAAAATTTCAGCAAACCATAGAGTAAATTGAGAAAAGAGTTTGCATCAACATTTCTCTCCAAAGAAATAAATAATGAATTTAACATCCTAAACTGGTTTATTTGTTGTTTTTTTCATCATTATCTTGTACTTTATAGGTTTTGTTATTGAAAATTAAGCTCCACCAGAACCATATTTCTTTCCCAACATAATCACCTGAAGTTTATCATAACTTGCAAGCACACCAGCACCAGCAACTGCTCTAAGTATGTTTGCACCAGCACCTTTGAAGAGAGATTTTGGACCTTCACTTTTCACAATTTGTTTGAAAGCATCCATTGAATTCTTGTATTTTACAGCTTCGCCTGATGTCATCATCATTCTTCTACGAACCGTGTCGAAAGGGTAAGATGCAACACTAGCTCCAACTGTAACTATCCATCCTAGAACAAAACTAGCAAGGAAATTGTCCTGAAAATTTTGCAGCACAATATGTTAGAGTCGTCTTAAGTTTTCAGAAGCTTTTGCAGGTTTGTCGCAGTTTAACTGTGACATAATAAAAAAATCTTATTTTTTCACATGACAAAAATTTCACGAGGCCCTTTTTAGTCATTTGTTGAGCCGTCCAACATTTTAGATATTGTGCGCTAGTCTGTCTTACATGTCCTCAAAGACGACCTTGTTATAGATGTAAAATTCGATTTCTTTGATATCAGAGTGACTTTAGTAGTTTTCCGAATAATCTTTTAAGGATTATGTTATAATAATGAGACATAAAATGAAGTGTGTCACTCTTACCTGAAATGTTCCTACTAAGAGCACTGGTTTAAGAGAATCATACATTCCGAAATACAATCCGCGGTAGACAGTGATTCCAACAATCGAAACATTGAAACCGCGATAAAGACCAGCAATACCGTCAGATTGATATGTCTTCTTGTAGACATCAATCAAGCCATTGAATTGTCTCTCTCCTCCTTTCTTCACGGTCTTGGCGTCACTAGCAAGTCGCGTTCGAGCGTAATCCAATGAGTAAACAAAGACTGAAGATGAAGCTCCTGCTGCTGCACCAGATGCAATATTTCCTGCAAACACTTTCCAATATCCATCTCTCTCTTGCTTGAAGTTAAATAGCTTCTTGAAATAGTCTTTGAATGCAAAGTTGAAGGCCTGCAAATGATTAATCATGTTTCAATAGGTTTCTTGTTTAGCAAGAAATAGATTCGTGCAAATGAATTCTCAAAAATCGACAAACCTGCGTTGGGAAATAACGAATAACATTGACAGTGTTTCCTCTCCAAAGTGAAGCAAACCCTTCATCTTTGATTGTTCTACCAAAACAATCTCCAATTCCTTTGTAAGGTTCAGAAAGCCTACCAGCCTTAATCAACTCATCTTGGTTTTGAATCAGAAGCTTCACGCGTTCGATAGGAGCAGCTGCAGATTTCGACACTGCTGCAGAAACTCCACCCATCAGAAAATCAGTTGCAAAGCTTGCAAAGTTTTTCTCTGATGGTGATGGAACAAACACTGCATTTGAGGATGAAAGGTTAGTTCTTAGATGAAGTTGTGCTAGTGTTGGACATTGGTGCCTCCTATCAGCCATCATCAATACTTTGAGTGCTTAGTAATGAAATAGTTGAAAATGTTAAAGATTTTTTAACTCTTGGATATGTGAAATCTGTTACTATTATATAACAAGCTTATGGTGCAAAAGTTTGAATTTACTTTATTAGAATACAAGTACAAAATTATTTCCATTCCTGAAGTTCCATGGAAATTTGTTAACAGTCTAGATTATTTTGACTTAGGACAAGTTTGGCTGCTCTTAACTTTCAATTATTGAATTCATTTGGGATAAATAATTGTTGAATACATATTTTTTAGTAAAGTTGATGCATCTTATATTATACTATTCTTTTCAATGACATGATGCTATTGTTAGTTATGAGTTTTGACACGAGTCTCTGACTTGGTTATAAGGAGAATGGTCAAGTATGAAGATGGATTCACATTGGGATATTCATCCATTCACGCAACTAGTGAATTGGTTTGGATACTTCACTATTATAAAAGAAAAAAAGCATTTGATTTTGTTCACTATTATAATTAAAAGTCAATAATTTTTAAATTAATTAATATTTGTAATACTAGTATATTATTGATTTATTTCAAACTATTTTATATTAATAGTTGATTCATCAAATATAATTAAAGATATTAATATTAATGTAAATTTTACTTTGTACATGAAATTAAAAAAAAATGATTCTAAATTAGCCAAGTGAAAGGATTCTAAATTAGCCACAAAAAAATGATTCTAAATTTTACTTTGTATGTGCAAGTCTCATCAAGAATCTTCAAACCATATTTTCATTTATTGTCATGTTGCTTCGCAAATTTGGCACTGATTTTTTAATATGATCAAGATCCCTCTTGTGTCTAACATTGTTAATATCATAGAAATTTGTGACAGGAGCTGGACTCCTCAGCCATCACCCAAGCTTCCATTATCCACATCACCAATAACATATAGATATCCCGTAATCATGTCAAATTCCGCAATGGAACAACTCAATGGAAGAGGGTTCTCAACCAAATTGTCAGTGAGATGGTTTTCATAAGAAATATTACTTCTAAGATCGCTAAATCCTCAATCCATGAGTTCACTATCATTAAGACTTTCAATATTAAGTTGCATCCTTCTAAAGATCCGACAATCGTTGAAGTCATTTAGAGGCACATGGCTGATGGTTGGTTAAAGTGTAACACAAACGACTTCTTCTCTACAGAGTTGGCATCTTGGGGAGGTTTGTTCATGAATTCTTTAAGTGACTTTGTTTTCAGGTTTGCTTATAAGCTTGATTAGTCTTTCTCTATTCATGCTGAGCTTCTTGGGGTTTTAAAAGTCATTGATTTTGCTTCTAATTTTGGTTGGAATAGTATCTGGTTTGAAACCAGCTCTTCTTTTGTTTTGTTGGTTTTCCAGAATCTTAAGGTGGTTCGTTGGAACATTAGGACCCTTTAAATTAATTGTTTTATCAAAATTAGACTCTTAAATTTTCATATTACTCATTTCTTCACAGAAGGGAACCAATATTTAGAATTTTTAACTTCTTTGTCTATCAATTCTTCTTTGCCTCTGACTTAAGTCATGTCTCAGGGAGCCTTCATCTCCTTGTTTGTCCATAACAAATTAGAGCTCTCAAATTATCACTTTGTTAATTTCTGAGAGAATTTTGGTCTAATCTCCTTCTTTTGTATATTTGATTCTTTTTAAATATATTTGTTATGTTTGTTAAAAAAAAGAAAAAAATTAATTACAATTATTTAATTTTCTTAATCAATACAAAAACAGTTATTTTTATTTATAATTTTGACATGAGGGAGTATAAGTTTTGATTTTTTTCATACACCAAAATATTAGTTGAAATTAGTTTTGATTTTTTTCATACACCAAAATATTAGTTGAAATTTGGATCATAACATCTAGATCAAATGTCATCGATGTGATGACCGTGTAGTAAAATATAAAATCATAGATTAATTGTTTATAGTTTAATACACAAGGTCACATAAAAATATTGTAATCACACATAAAATTCACCATGCACCGTGTATAAGTTTTAGAATAACTTAACATAAATTAGAATGAGTAAGAATATAAACAAAATACATAGATCATCCGTTAATGTCATAATTCAAAACACCTGAGAAATAATGACTTCAACTATATGAAAAACAACAATATTGAAAGGGTGAGACTATATTATAATGACTTTCAACAAATATATCATAAATTTAAGAGTTAAATATGTTTTTTTATGTCTATAAATGATTAAATTTTGATTTTGATTTCTATAAAAAATATTAATATGTTTTTTTAGTTTTTACAAAATTATTATGCATGTAATTTTAGTCATTACTATTAAACTGGTGTGTATTTTTTAATAGTTATTTTGCAGATATGTTTAGAACGTTATAAAAAGTTCTTTGAAAAAAACTTAAAATTTAATTTCTAAATCGAAATTTTCATTGTTTTCATCAATATCTTTTGAAATTTAAAAAATCCATACTTAATTCTTCTCATTTTAAAAAATTCTAAAATTTATTAAATAAATATTTTATAAAATTTTAAACACTTATGAAAAAAATTATTTAAAAATTTAAGGGTAATTAATATTTTTCAAAATCTTAAAAAATAACAAGGACTAAAACTGCATGAATAAAAAATTTTATGGACCAAAATATGTCATTTTTTAATAGGAATTAAAAATGAAATTTGAGATATTTATAAGAACAAAAAATATATTTAACCTTAAATTTAAAAGTGAGAAAAATGCAAGAAATAAAAGATTTACATTGTTTTTGTTGGAGCACAAGGAAGATAAAAGGCAAAAGGAATATTTACTTATAGCTTCAAAATTAAGGATTTATAATGAATTACAATAACCTACTCCACTGGACTATTTATACACACAAATTAAATCTAAAATATATCTTCTACAAAGATATAAGAAGATCTAAGATTTATATCTTCTAACAAAGATATAAACAATCTAAAAAATATTCCTAAATATAAACTAATATCTAATTAAATCTAAATTAATTCTAACATCATCCCTTAATTTATATTTATCTAAAACTGACAACACCAATTTCATCCCTTAAACCAAGAAATTGACCAGTTTTGATAGCCTTTGTCAGAACATCTGTCAACTGCTTCTGAGTGTTACAGTGCACAACCTCTATTATTCCATTCTGAACTTGATCTTCCGTACTCACGGGTTCAGAGTTTACTAATATTGCACACTGAATAACTTCTCCTTCAGAGTCTACTTCAGTGTCTTGCAACATGTCAAACTCTGCAAATCTTCTTGGGATGCTTCTGACTCTTTGTTGCCTCTGAACTGGACCTTTAGAACCTTGGACACCAGAACTTCCCCCTTCAGAAGATCTTACTTCAGAGTTTTGACTTTCTCCAGAACCTTGACTGTCTTCAGAGTCTTGAAAATTCTCAGGGTCTGAATCATCATCAAAGTCAGAGCCACTACCTTCAGAAATACCATCTTCAAAAGTTGGATCACTTTCAGAAGCTCTGCCTTCAGAAGTTCCACTTTCAGAATCATGATCATTGTCAAAGACTGAATTTCCTTGAGAAGCTTCTCCTTCAGAAGGTCCATCCTTAGAGTCATGATTTCCACCAAAAACATGATCATCTTTAGAAGTTTGTCCTCCAGAACCTACGTCTTGAGAGTTTTCTCTTCCAGAAGCATGATCACCACCAAATTCTGGATCATCATCAAAATCTGGATCAGAATCAGATTCACCATCTGACTCACCTTCAGAGTTTCCAGAGTCATCATCTTATGACTCTTCTTCAGAAGCAGAATCTTCTTCAGACTCAGAATCACCTTTGGATTCTGACTTGTCTTCAGCTTCAGAGTCATCTTCTAACTCTAACTCGTCTTCAAAAACCTCAGATTCTGACTCATCTTCAAAAACTTCAGTGTCATCTTCAAATTCTGACTCAGTTATATTCTGATTCTGACTCATACAAAATCACTCCCTCAAAATCAGAATATTCAGAGTCAGAATTTTTACTAGCTTCAGAAATATGTATTTCTGACCTTTCTTCAGAAGTTCTGTCATCAGACTAAGGACGAGACTTTTCCCAATTCCAAACCTCTGATTCCTCTACAATGACGTCTCTGCTGAACTCAACTTTGTTAGTTTCTGGACAATAAAGTTTGTACGAACTTGTACTGTGATACCCCACCAGCAACATCACTTTACTTCTATCATCCAACTTCTGTCTTCTGGCTTCTGGGACATGTTTGTAACATACAAAACCAAATACCTTCAGATGACTAACACTTTGCTTATCTCTAGTCCACTTCTGAATATGAACTATTTCCTTTAATTTCTTTGTTGGACATTTGTTGAGCACATAACATTGATGACACACAAATATGTGATATTTCTGGCTTGATATACACCAAATATTTCTCATACTTTAGTTTAAATTAAATTATTTTATAGGTATTATGCAGGTATTTTTCTATTTCTGCAGATATGCATTAAGCTGAACACTTTGGAAGAAACAAAGAAAAAAGAGGTGCAAAACTAGCAAAAAGGCCAAAGGAGAAGAAATGAGCTCAAGCCCATTATACATGTGAGCACGTGGCCCACCATGAAGAAGACCTTGACGGTCGTCAAGGAGGCATGCCGGACGTCACGCGCTAAGAATGACCAAGTGACTATCGTCACTTGAATGTGACGAACGTCACAAGCCACTTACCCCACTTTCTTCGCATCCAACGGACAGAAATGCATTCAAATGTTAATCCAGCGACTACCTATATTATCTGACCCACTCAGTCAAAGCACCAAGGAACATGACAAATTAATGGCCCTATTATTTCTCAAAGGAAGAAATAAATTGTTCCTACATTCTCGAGAACAACTGATCATGCAAGACTTATAAATAGAGCCTTAGACCATAATAGAAAGGGTTCTTCTTTTTGGCAAGAAACTTTGGAGATTTTATATTTACTTTGAGCGAATATTCCTTTCAGCATTATTTTATTTCCCAGTTATTTCTATATTCCTTTCAGCATTATTTTCTTTGTACGGTTAAATATATTCTCCGATCGAAGCAAAGCCTACAATTTGTGCAGGAGTGCTTCTATCTTCAGAGTTATTACCAGGTTTATGTTTACAAATTCTTATTGATTTTAATCAATATAATTATGTTTATTTTCGTTTGTCTCTTAAATTATTCTGCGATTTGGTCTGATATTATGTTAGGCTAGAATTCCTATACGGGTATGTAAAGTCACTCAACCAAGGGAACGAGTAACTTAGTTGAGATTATTTTTACTACAAAACTTTCTTTTCTGGCCTAAGTTACTATTTTTAATCATTAAATTGTTTTCTTACGGAAGTAAAAAACAGATAGAGGTTAGGGTCAACAAAGCGGAAGTTTGAGATCTTTTAACTGGACAGTAGTAATTAGGCATTGGCTTAAAATACAGTGGAAGCACTTTAAAGTTAATTAAGATTTTATTTAGTTTTCAAAAAGTGTTTTTAACTCCCGCGGGATGGCGAAAGCGTACGTTAGGACTTAACTGCATAGCCTAGATCAACAAAACGACAGTGTGAGACGAGGGTTTTTTAACTAAATAAGTTTTACTGAAAGCTGTTTTGAAAATAGAAAGACACCCAACAGGTCGCTAGTTCCTGAGGTACGACTATTGCATACTGGTAATTACGTTCATTGATTATTAAAAATCCAATTTAATTTAGTATTTAGTTTTCCCTATAACCCATCAAATATTCATTAGCTTTAGATTTGCGAAGTAACAATAGAAGACGGTAGATCGATTCATCAGTCTCCGTGGTTCGATATCTTTTAAAACTACACGGTAAGACTGTGCACTTGCAGTCCGAATCATTGGATACATAAGCGTAATCCCGATCATGTTTTTGGCTCCGTTGTCGGGGACTGGTTTAAGTCGATATCACTACTCTTTTGTTACGCATTAGAGACTAGAGCAAAAACTTCTCTCTTTCTTCTCTATTTCTTTTCTTTTCTTTTCTTATTTGTATGCCAAACACTCGTTCGCAAGGCGAGCCGTTATACATACAAATCAATGATATTGAGCGTTATATTAGACTTAGACGCCGCATTCAAGAGTATCATCTCTTGCATAACACTCAACCCCGTCAATCACTCGAACCTCCTATTTCTCGACCAACCGAAGAAATGGTTGCCAATCCTACTCCGTGCCCACTCAAATCCTATGCCATTCCCTCACAAGATGAACCGCACAATAGCATTGCTTCCCCTCCAATCGAGGCTAACAACTTTGAACTGAAACCCTCTTTGTTATCTGTTGTACAATAGAACCAGTTCTCTGGTGGGTCAATGGAAGACCCCAATCTTCATCTATCAATATTTCTACAGTACGCAGATACAATTAAGAACAATGGGGTCAGTTAAGAGGCAATAAGACTTTGTCTCTTCCCTTTTTATCTAAGAGACAGCGCAAGAGCTTGGCTCCAATCTCTACCCGCAAAATCAGTCACTACATGGGACGAGCTGAAGAAAGTCTTGCAAGGTATTTCCCGCCAAGCAAAACAGCTATGCTAAGATCTCAGATAAGCGATTTTAGACAAAAGGAGAATGAATCCCTTTTCGATGCTTGGGAACGATACAAGGATCTAATGATACTATGCCCATATCATGGCTTGGAAGAATGGTTGATTATCCATACCTTTTACAATGGCCTCCTTTACAATACAAGATTAACGATAGACGCTGCCGCAGGTGGTGCACTTATGGACAAATCCTACACCGCTGCCTATGCTCTAATAGAAAGTATGGCCCAAAACCATTATCAATGGGGAAGTGAAAGAGGACACGCAGACAAAGGTACTATAGAGAAAACACCGACAAAAGGAGGCATGTATGAGATAAGCGATCTAGACAGTGTCCATGCTAAGGTAGATGCCCTCACCCTAAAGATAGATAATTTGACCGTAATACCTCCAGCCACCGTGGCTGCTATAACTCCCAATTGCGAAATATGCGGAGTACCTGGACATCTAGTTACTAAATGTAAGATCTTGGCAGGAACTCCAACTGACCAAGTGAATTATGCTCAAGGAAACCCTTACTCAAACACATACAACCCTGGATGGAAAAATCACCCAAATCTCTCATATAAAAACCCCAATGTGTTGTATGCTCCAAACCAAGCACCTGCCGTGCCACCTGGATATCACAAACCTCTTACAAATGCTCCTAGTGCGCCTAGAAAATCAAACTTAGAACTGATGATGGAGAACTTCATAGCTACCCAAGCGCAAACAAACAAAGACGTCCAAAATTAGAACATACACACTAACGAGAAGATAAAACAATTAGAAAACAAAATAGATGCTTTGGCCACCCACAATAAAATGTTAGAAACCCAAATCTCTCAAGTGGCTCAACAACAAGCACCTATAGCTGCACCGGCTGATACATTTCCCGGTCAACCATAACCTAACCCGAAGGGGCATGCTCATGCCATCATATTAAGAAGTGGAACCGAGTTAGATGGACCGCCTGACCCAAGACCATCAAATCAAAGTATGTATCAAAGGTCTGAAACACCAACTGAGAAGGAGAATCAACCAGAGGAAGACGAAGAAGATAAAGGAGGAGAGGCCAAAGAAAAAGAAAAATAAAAACCTTATGTGCCTCCACCGCCTTATAAACCCCAGATCCCATTTCCTGGTAGATTAGCCAAACCTAAAAATGTAGGGCAATTTAAAAAATTCGTAGAACTTCTGAAACAACTTAATATAACAATTCCTTTCACAGAAGCTATAACTCAAATGCCCTCCTATGCCAAATTCCTCAAGGAAATCTTATCCAACAAGAAAAAGCTAGAAGATAACGAAACAGTCACGCTTACAGCAGAATGTATCGCAATTATCCAAAACAAGATGCATCCTGTTGTACCCCAAAATTTGCCCTCGCATTTTTCCACAAGAAATCACAGCTTCAGGCGTTTCCTGATTTTTCAGATTGGCTCAAGAATTGGACAAACGGACTTTTCTCGTCAGCCAGACAAAATTAGGGTTTTATTGATTTTTCAGGGCTCTGGATTGTTTCACACAGTGGGCTTAGGGTTTTGGTTGATTTTGGCTCAATTTTGATCAGTCGACGTTCTTTGGCATTTAATCAGGAATTAAGGTTTTTGTACGCGCATTCTCAGAAAGATCTAAATTCTACAGTGCTTTGCAAGACATTCCGAGATTTGGGTTGAATTCGCATTATTTGACTTAATCAGTAAAAAGAAGGCAGTTGGTTTGAATTCACCAGTCAAAAGATATATGCAGTTTGGATTTACAGTGTTTGGTAAGAATCAGTGAAAAGGGGGGATGCGTCTGATCAATTGTTATGATTAACTGTTATTTTGCTTTGAACATTGGAAGCGTCAAGTTTATTAATTGATCAATACTGAAATATTGTTTAGTTAATTATTTATTATTCTAAAGATTAAATAAGTTGGAATTTATTTTCAATTTATTTCAATTTAAAGAACTATAAATAATAAATAAACAATTGAAGAAGAGAAGAATTAATTAAATAAAAGGACTTTTTATTTATCTTTAAGTCATTTGTATAATTGTTTTTGTTTACAAAATGTTGACAAAAATAATGTTACATTTATTTAAAGCTAAATAAAAACTATCCTAATTATTTTTCTAATCTTCAAATCTTCATCCGCTATCCCTCGCTCCAGTGCTCCAGTATTCATCTGCAAAAAGAAAAGAGAAAAGTCAAATAACAGTTAAATTAAATTGAAAAGACAGATAAAAGAAATTCATCATTAAGGGCCACTGATTGGGATCAGTTAACCCTCTCTGCAAATCACGGGATTCTCCCGGTTCACAAAGAGGGAAGAATGTTATTTGCTAAATCATGAATGCAAAGTTGAAAAAATGCAAAGTGTCAAAACTGCATAAATTCAAAATCTCAAACTCCAAGTTCAAACTAAACTGAAAAATCAAATTGCAACTTTCTGTCAAAATGCAAAGTGTCAAACTTGCTGTCAAATGCCAAAAGGTACAAGTTACTGCACAAAGATATCAAAGAAGATAAAAAAGTACAAAAGCTGTCAAAGAAGAGATAAGATATGCAGAGGAAAACTATTGTGCAAGCAAGCATATTCACTTTTCATCATTTCCCAACAATTAGCCCTTTCAGAAAAGTACAGCAAAAAAGCCTAGTTTAATATTTAACTGTACTGAGAGAGAAGAGTGGAGAGAAAAAGAATGCATGTTTTTAGGCTTTTAGGCAGGAAGAAACATATACAAAAAGCAAAACACAGTAGAAAGGAGGAGAGAGCAAAATATACAAAGATAAGCTTAAAACTTCACAAGGAATACAAGGCCAAAAATATTCAACCTGCTGTCCAGAACCTTAAGCAAAAATAACCTGCCTGAAGCAAGTCA